CCTCCCTGCAAGGGAGGGCAGGAAACTTCAGAAGAATGTGTTCATACCAAACCCAGCTATGAGTTATGATTTAAAGCAAAGTCACATGCCCAGAGATAGTAAAGCCAGCAGAGCAAACTTGGCAGTGAACCGGTAACACACACAGAATGAATTCCTTCCCCAGAAGAAGCTGGACACCACAACCCACTGTCCTTCAACGCTGTTGGTGCCCTCCACTGAGCTCTCCCAGTCAGTCAAGCAGACTTACACCATAGCTGTCTGTCATTTAAGTGTTCTGATGTTTGACTATAAACACATGCAGAACGTGATTAACGAACACGACTCGAAACTTCAACCCACACAGTAGTTGTGGGTAAATAAGTCCTGTGTAACAACACACCCAGGATAAACCACTCTTGGCAGGGAAAACTCCTATGCTAATAAAACGCCCCATCATTAATAAAATTCTCTGGAAATAACAAAACGTGAGAGCATAGCATTAGACCTCCAGAAGGCCGTCCAACCTGATATCCCACCTCTGACAAGGTCTGTGGAAGAGTACAAGGACTGCTCACACACAGTAGATGCACCCAGAGAGCAAACTCTCAGCCCCTTACTTACAGCGTGGATCTGCTGAGCCGAACACGAGGCCTCCACACCACCAAATAACAATGCATTTTTCTGCACTTAACATGCAGTTCTGAGCTTCCCACCTGCTAATTTGCTGAGTATCTTAAAAGAATTCAAGGAGACAAAAACAGGTGACAAACAACCCTTGTTTCACATTCACCTTCTTCATGCAACCATGTCACTCACAATTTTAGGGGCTTTCACCATCTCTCTCCTTCCCTTGCCCCCTAAATCACCCCTCTCTGTGCTTTTTCTAATGCTACTGTATTTTCTGTGGCTGGAGGAAGGGACCCAGGGGCTCACAGCCCTTGCCACATCCCCATACCATGCATACACATAGCAAGATGGTAACAACCTCTGTCTTGCTCTCTACTACTTTTGTAACAATTTCTACTATTTCTTTGACTGTCAGAGCACATTTTCAGATAGCCATCGAAGACCATAACCGTGTCCCTAAGGAGAGGCTTTTCCCTGCCATTTCACTGCCCAGGCACCACAGAATCACGGAACCATTTAGGTTGGAAAAGACCTTTAAGATCATCACATCCAAGTGATAACCCAGCACTGCCAGGTCACCACTAGGCCACATCCCTCAGCACCACATCTCCACGGATCTGAAATCCCTCCAGTGACAGGGACTCCACCACTGCCCTGGGCAGCCTGGAATGGGCCCTGAAAGCCCTTTTGGTGAAGGATTCTTTCCTAATATCCAGCCTAACACACCATTATCCTTGGCCCTGACACACAGCTTACAGCCAAGTGATTGACATT